TATAAATATACTTACTATAAAAATATAGTTTAAACAATTTGATAAAAAATAAATGTTAAAGAAAAGAAGAAAATAAATATTAATTTTTTATATCAAAATACTTATTTATCTTTGATTCTTTGTCTTGAATAAAACTCTTTACATTTTCTTCATTCTGAACTGTAATACTTCCATTATTTTTTTAATAAATTATGAATAAAAATAAGGGAGTTGTATTTTTGATTTTTTAGAACTATGAATAAGAAGAAAATTTCGATATAATTTTCTTATAAAAATCACCAAATTGTAGAGTTATTATTAACAATTTATTATAATATTTATAATCAAAATTATTTTAATATGAAAAAATACTCAATCATTATAAACCATTCTATATTTATATTTTTAATTCGTTGTTATCTATCAAATTTTATTCTATAAAAACAAAAATATGATAATTCCTTTAATACTTTATACTTCTCTAACACATTCTTTAGATAATTATTTCCATAAAACAGCAGATTAAAAATGTATATTATTTTAAACGGGAATACAATAAAAAGAATAAAATTATTTGTTATACATAACATTCTTTAAGTAAAGAATAAAAATTAAATAAAAAAAAAGAGAAACAATTCTAAATAAATCTCAATGTATCTCTACGTGAATTTGTTTATTTTTTTTGGCATGGTGTAGACATCTTTTTAGCTAATGAACCACAATTTACTTTGAAGTTCTTTAATTTTAAGAACTTATCTCCTTTCTTTGGAACAAGTCCTTTAACAGCATCAGATAAAGCTTTAGCATTTTTCAATGCAACCTCTTGTCTTTTAAGAATATATTTTTTATCTAATTTTCCTTGTAATCCAGCAAGAGCAATTTTGCTTTGAGCTTTATTTAATTTCAAAGCAGCCTTTCTATTTCTTTTAGCAATTTTATCTTTAACAAGCTCTTCAATTTCATGTTTTCTTTCTTTTAATTCAGCCAAATGTCTATTATGAGCATCTACAAGAATGTCACGAGCAATTTGAGTCTTAAATACTTGTCTTTCTTCTTTAGATTTAACAGCTAAATTCTTAAGTCCTTCAAGAGCCTTCTTTTCAGTTTCAAGAGTGGATTTAATTCCATCAGAAATAGTTTGAAGGATTTTCTTTTTGTTAGCAGTTTCAGCTTTAACCATAAGAATATCCAAATTAGCAGCTTTATCTAAAGCAGTTTTTTTGTTATTAGATTTAATAACACTCTTTAATATTTTTTTAGTTGCATCTCTTTCTAATTGTTCTTTTTCATGTTTTAAAACAGCACTTCTTAATTTAGCAAGGTCTTTTCTATTATTTTTATAAGCAAAATTCTTTCTAATTTGTGCTCTTTGAGCAGCTTTTAAGTTTTCTTTTTCAATTTTCATATCATTAGCAATTTTCTTTTCTGCAATTGTTTTCTCAGTTTCAAAAGCTGTTTTTTGTTTTTTCAATTCATCAATTTCATCAGCTAATTCAGCTTTAATTTTAGTTAAATAATCATTCTTTTCAATATCCAATTTATTCTTTAATTTAGTATCAAGTACTTTTTGTTTTAAGTCTTCAACTTTCTTTTGATTTTCTAATTTATATTTTCTAAGGGCATTTCTAGCACATGCAATTTTTGCTTTTTTATA